TTCCCTCCCACTTTCAACTGAACTAACTGCCTCTCTTCCCAACTGTGATTGCATAACATTCCTGTGACAATTAAATCACCTGATTATGTAGAAAAGCTATATTTAGGAAAGCATCTATATTTTTAGCTATCTTTAGTACACTTCACCAACTGGATAGAATGATGAAAGCCAACACCGTATGACCTAACCACCCCTGTAGATCAGAAGTACTTCAGCAGAGGACAGATTGCAACTACTCTAACTTTAGGAGAGAGGTTCTTGTATAGTTAAAATTAACTGGAAGTAAAATTTAAGAGCATGTAAGAGGTTTCAGTTAAGTTGTATTTTTCTACACAACATTTTGGTAAACAATATGCTGCATATGTGCACACAATGGTGCCATCCATTAAAAAGGAGTAAAAAAGTTACAGGAATCTTCCACTCCTTTAAATTCCCATGAGTTTTCCTATTTACTTGTCAATGGTTGATGGCATCATGGCAATCATCAGGCTCCTCTGAATCTAGAAGAGCCCTGATTCACATTCCATGGAAAAACATGTAGGGAAGGGGATCTGGACATCTTAGTATCTCTCTCCCCCATCTCACTTGGATTAGCCCACAAAAGGACATGAGGAGTTTTGCCCCAAACAGAGCAGATTCAAGGGACTCCTTGGGATGGTCTGTGCCACATCAGTATCGTGAAGGTGGGCAGCTCCATTGGAGCCTTGGTACCAAGAACTTTTACCTTACAAATGAAGCCTCCAGAGCATGTTCTGTAGTAAAAAATAGTTAATACAGTAGAAATTACAAGATATATTAAATATATAAAATACCCTGGTCACCCAAAGATCCATGCCCAGATCTCAGGGAGCAGCTAATCAAAGCTAAGTGAACAGAAGACATTTACCTAGCACATACCTTCTTCAGCTTTTAGAATATTCACATATGAGCTGTATGCATAATAGATAGGTTTCAGAGGACTAGATATTATAGGTACGCATTATAAACACTGATTTCACTTATACTTACAAATTGTTGGAATTTTTTTATGAACTGAAATGTACAGTTAAATATGAAAAATGCTGCTCAAAAACTGAAGTTTGATTTCAGAATATTTACTTTGGAAACTTTTGACATGTGTTTTAACAGTTACAAAGCTTCAACTTTTGACTCTCAACATCAAATACATAAAAAAGCTGAAAGGACAAGTGGTCCTGTAATACCTTAGAGACTAACAAAATATAGATATATAACATACCATGAGCTTTCATGGACAAACCCACTTCTTCAGATGATTGGCGCAAGAGGCACTCCCATTCATCAGAAAAAGTGGGCTCTGCCCGCGAAAGCTCAAGATACTATCTACATTTTTTGTTTAGTCTCTAAGATGCTACAGGACCTTTTTTTTTCCGGGGAGGGGGGCGAGTGTCAAGTCTCACACTAGCATGGCTACCCCTCTCATCAATTACACAGTTAGTAGCTGGTCCCCCCCCCCCAATCCCCTACAACTGTGAACTTAGGTACACAACGTTTCACTCTGAACCAGCGGCGAGTCAAGGCAGGGCTTTGGGAGCCCTGCAACCTTGAGGAGGCACCTGCCAGGGGCGGCGGGCCGGAAACAGCTGGGCAGCCCAAG